ACTCCAACTGGATACAAGTGTTTCATTACCTCTCCTCCATCCTTCCCCAAGAATCCATCTCCTTGGCAATTTCACAAAAGGGACTTCACTGAGCTCGGAAGAATTCTGTTGTCCGAAATGGTCCTCTTTAATTTCTAACCTTGTGCTTTTTTTTCCCCTGAAAAGTGTATATTTTTTTCTGAAAAAAAAAACAAAAGAAGTGATTGTTCAATACTTTGACGTTTTTCCTCACTTTGATAGAACGGGTCTTTTCACTCCTGACATGGCATTTGAAACGATTGTGAAAAAGCAGATCTTGAAGATCAGAGAGCCGTGCCTCAAATGTGTGGACATGGTTATCAATGAGTTAATCAGTACGGTTAGGCAGTGTACCAAGAAGGTAATTTGCTTTATCACAGAGTCCTGAAAAAACTTGCTGCCTGGTCTTGGATCTTCAGAAAGTTCTCCGCAGAGTGTTCTTTGGGTGTTTGGCCTTATTGCGACTGATAGTAACCTGGCTGAGGGCACTAGTCAATATTTTAGCATGCATGACTGCAGACCAGAGCACAGCTTCTATCATTAATATTCAATTTTCTTCCTGGATATAATATTAAAACTCAAGCAGGAGTTTTAACAGATTAGGTCAATATTGTTTTGAAATTAAAAACTTTATGAAAATAAACATGATTGATGCCATGGTCTGAACGCACTGCTTTCCTAACGAGTGCCTTTCCCTCGCTACTTTGACAACAACAACCCGCATTTTTGTACCGCCTGTCCAAAAGGTGGTCAAACCGCCCGCAAGAGCACAAGCAAATAAACTGACATTGTGCTGAGGAAGGAGCTGAAGGACCAGGTGGACAAACGTTTGGTCAAAGAGACAGGTTTTTTTTTAAAGGGTGTCCTTGAAAAAGAGAGGGAGAGGTGAAGGGCTTGAGGGAGAGAAATTCCTCAAGCGAAGGGCAGAGAGCACTGAAGGCCTGGCCACCGATGTCAGGATGGAGGTGGGCGTCTGCTTTGGAGCAATGCACAGGGCTGGGCTGGAGGGAGGGACATCAATCAGGAAAAGACTGGGTGGAGAGAATGTAAAACAAACTAATATTTTCTAACAGCATCTGGGACTCCTTTATTCATTACACTTTGTTGGGTCAGGTTAACACGGTCTGATTTTGTTTGGCAGACGAGACCAGTTGAGCCATGTTACTGAGCCCTTTAAGTCCAAACACCTATTTCACAGCTGTTTCCGCTCCCAAAGTGCCAGCTGGAAATACATCAGCATGTCATCCATTCCCCAATAACGGGTACAACATGGGGGGACCTGAAGTGACTGGGAGGACAAAAGTAGGCCTGAAATGGGTGTATGCCCTAACTTTAGAAGGTTCAAAAATTGGGCAGGGGAAACAGGATAAGAGTGTGAAATCGTGGCTTGAGCATTTGCTTTCTTTTGAAAACCTTCAGAACTAACCTTGGGGCACAAGCATGACTTTCTTGGGGGGGAAGGGGAGGGAAGGAATAGGACCCTGTGTTTTTTCCTTCTTTCCCCCTCCTTGAGATTTCCAGACTCAAAACCCGACTGGCTGGTGCAAAGGCAAAGCTAGCCTCTTTCAAGTTTTATTGAGTCAGAACCTGCCCCAGGAGTTCTTCATTTGAGCCTTGTTTTCAGCTGATGCTAACTTTGGGTTTAAAAATGGCTCAAGACTGCACCAGTGGATATGATGGTTTCCTGGATTCATTATGAGGGAAGGGCACAGGCACCTGATAAACAAGTATTCAACCAGCCAGCTAATCCACTCGAGCCCTAACTATTGCAGAAATGGTTTGTGTGACAATTCCTTGTTTTGAACGTAGAGTCGGTTTTGGTCTCACAGATAGTCATTCCCACTGCGCAGCCTGGAATAATCTTGAGATCATCTCAATTGTGCCACAGCCTGTTCAACATCTGCACAACATTCCACCCCACATCCGTATTCCCCTGCCAGGTCTGTTTGAAGTGCAGCTATTTATATATTTAACGAGAATCAACGTCCATAAACCTTGTTTTCTTAAGAAAAGCATTGACATGAAATTATTCCCAAGCAAAATGTTTAGCAAGATACAACATTGACTGTCTTAAAATTGAGAGGGCTGATAGAGCAGTCAGTATGTAGCACAAGGACAATTCAACCTGGCAGCTAGAACATCATTGAAAATGGCTTCATTTGTATAGCGCCTAACCTCTTTGTGCTGGAATTGGCCATTCCACCTTTTGAGCTCGTTCTGGCTCTTTTGGAAAGCTATTCAATTAATCCAATGGTCTCAATGTGGACTTTACCAGTTTCAAAATCTCCCCACCTCCGGCCTCATCCCATGACCAACCCTCCCTCTCATCCCCGCCTCCTTGACCTGACGCAACCTGTCTATGTTCTCTCCCACCTCACTGACCAATCCCCACCACTGCCTACCTGCACTCACCTCTCACCATCCCACCTACCTTCCCCAACCCCACCCCTCCTCTCTATTTATTTCAGAGCTCCCTTTCTCCTCCCTATTTCTGAGGAAGGGTCCTGACCCGAAACGTCAGCCTTCCTGCTCCTCTGATACTGCTTGGCCTGCTGTGTTCATCCAGCTCCACACCTTGTTATCTCAGATTCTCCAGCATCTGCAGTTCCTACTATCTCCTACTGAACTCATTCTGCCAAAGCCCTCTTCAGCTCCAACTCCTGTTAACCTTCTCTGCTGGGAGGTGACCTTGTCTCCTCACATTCTCAACCTCAGAGGGCTATGATTACTCAGTTTGTATGATTACTTAACCACATCCCCACCCCCAACCTCAGCCCCAGTGCTCTGACATTGCTGATTCTTTCTTGTGCGTGCAGAGCACATTGTGCTTATTTAACACAGTAAATCATTCCTCGCCCTTCTCAGGATCGTTGTCAAGCAAAATGTTCCCACGAGCCAAACAAGAAGGTGCTGGGGCTGGTGATCAAAAGCTTGGTTGAGGAATAGGCTATGAAGAGCTGACAGCAATTATTCTAAAGAAGTAACATAACAGAGCCCTTCCATCCTCATCATCCATTAGCTCGACAGTGACCCAGATATCTCCCTGAACTACCAGAGGCACATGATCCAGGAGAGGGAATGACTGGCTGTGCTATCAAAAGGAAGCTTTCTTTTCTTTCTGATGTAGAGAGGGTAAAGTGAACACCATTGGTATGAGAGCCTACCTCGCATGTTGTGTTGCACGCACCATGGGTTGTATAGCATATCCGTGGTGCTGAGTGGTGTTGGGATGCCTGCTCTTCCTAATGATGATCACTGACCCTTCACCCCGATATTGAGATTAGTCTCACTGGAGAAATAGTTGGGGTGTTGAGCAAAATTGATGTCAATTTGCAGCCAAATTTCCTGAACTCATTGGAAGACAATACAAATCACTTCACGTGGCTTTTAACAAGAGGTTTGGGCACGAGCTGAGCCAACAAATCTTTAACTTGGTCTCCAATTCTTAATGGAGCACCTGAAGCTGATTTGAAACTGAACCTCCCAATCTGTTGAGTACTTGTTTATTAAAGCCTGTGCTTCTCCTCTGCCCCAACCAACCCACTCTGTCCCTCCCATCCCCTCTCCCAGTTTGAAAGCCTTTGTAGGTAACCAAGGTCTTACTTTTCCTTTTGCTTTATGTCCTATCCCCATGTTTTCACCCCCACACCCTGATGCCCCTCACCTTCTCCCCTCGCCCTCCTTGTTGTCATTTTCCTCCCACGATGCAATGCAGAACTGGGCTCTTCACCCCTGACCTTGCTTTTGAGGCTATAGTGAAAAAGCAGATCCAAAAGCTGAAGGAGCCATGTTTGAAGTGCGTAGATATGGTAGTGAGCGAACTCACCGGCACCATCAGAAAGTGTACCGAAAAGGTAAAAGGTCAAATCCTTCTCTATGAACCCTGCCTTTGCTCCATTAATTTATTTAACTCAAAAATTAAAATGGTGCCTTTTTTATTCTAAGGCAATGCTGACTAAGATTTCCTGTTGTATGTGAGCTTCAGATTTCAGAAGGATGTCAGCTTAGGGTCTTCTTTATTTGGGCTATGTGAATCAGCTGTATTTCAGTGGACAGATACTGGGCTGGTCTGCACCCTCTCATTTCCAAACTCATACAAACATACATGATGCTCTTTCTGAGGCCTTTGACTGACTCCCATCTTCCAAGTTTATCTGCTGTTTGTTTTAAAATGATCTCTATCAAATGCTTTGGCCCAGGGCTGCGGTCTCTGTCTCATGAGCAATCCCTAGGATGAAGCTCCATGATAGCTCTTCATCTTCATTTCACTCCTGAAGAGGTTGTGAGTTTTACTGAGTTGCCGAAGATCATTTCTCTGTACTTACTGTTGCGTACTGTACGATATGGAGATGGAAGATAGACAAACAGGCCTTTAACTATTCTACTTTATAACCAGCTTCTCACAAGGCAAGGTGTTGGCAAAATGGTAATGTACTGGACCAGAGAGCCAGGCTAATGCTCTGGGGTTATTAATTCAAATCACCATGGTAGGCAGTCAAATTTGAATTCAATAAAAATCTGGGTTTAAAAAATGAGCCTACTATTGACTCGGTGATCACTGTCAATTGTATAAACCCATCAGGATCACCCCTGTCTCCTTGCAGAAGGAGTCTACCATCCTTACCCAGTCTGGCCTACACGTGACTCCAGACCCACAGCAACGTGCCCTGTGGGCAATGAGTGCCAGTGATATCCACATTCCATGAACAAATTTAAAACAAAAACCTAGATCCTCACCCTTGAGTTTCTGAGCGTGTGCTGCTCATGGCCATTTGATGAACATTTCACGAGTTGCAATTGGCTGTCCATCTACATTGGCACAGTATGTCAGTTTTGTCACCTCCAAAATCTTTATTAAGTGGTGAAATAACTCATCAGAGGCCGGCATCCCATCACCAATCACCCTTTGTTTACAAACGCGTAGCCTTTGACAATAGCACTGCTTCTCACTGAGTCCAATGTACAGGGGTTCAATATCTCTGACATTCACCCTTTTATGTCAGCCAGGGCTCCCTGATTGGACCAGATTAACAGCCCCAGTCAGGGAACTCATATTCTGTGAGGTCCAGCTGGCTCACCTCGTTACAATCACTACAAGTGGAATTTTCTTTTAATTGGAGTGAAAATTGAAATTCTTTATGACTTTCAATATATCAGATTCACTTTACCCCAGCGAGAGTGAATCGCTCAGCCATGGGCACGCTGCAGTCATCTTCGGCCTGAGTTGTCCAAACCACTGCCCAAACACCATTCCTTTGAGTTCAGGGAAGCTTCAGCAAAGCCTCAGCCTTTCTGTTCCAATTCATTGATTTCATTCCACATTTTTGACGTGTTTAAAACAAAAGTGGAATCAGATAATGCTCTAGTATTGTGACAGTAGATTTTAACACCCTGTCAAAGGCTTCTAGTGTCTAGTTCAATACAGTTACTCCTCTGTACGTGACTGAAATGGGTGTAATTTAGCAGGCCCGATTACTGGAATTCAGGCTGTTGCCAAGTTGGTTAGGATGCGCATTGCTTTTATCTGTGAGGGCGATGAGTTGTGTTCACTGTTGAATAGAGATTGTTATTCGTCTTAGACTCAGATTACTGCATTTGGTTGGGCTGCTTAGGGCTTGTGAGGCCCATGCTGTTTCGGGCCTTGAAGCCTGACTGACTGACTGACAAGGATCACCCAATTACGGACCCACTAAAATAAAAGCCTCAAATTGTTGAAGAATGTGGCACTTGCCGGATCTCTTCCCAGACGGAAAATCCAGTAATATTTGGAATGTATTGATAACCCTAGTTCTCCATTTTGAAATGCACAAGACGGGTTGGACCAGTTTTAATGGCTTTTCCTTGGGTTAGAAACAACAGAGCTCTGCCTGGTTGAACAAAGGAACTGTGGACTACTCCCACTGTTAAGCCCAACGCCTCCCAATCTGTCACCCTCCCAACCCTCCCATTTCCATGTGTACCGTGGTTCTGGCCTATACAGGCATGGCTTCCCCAGGGGTCTGCTTGAGGAATTCTGTGAACGGTGCTGGGGTAACCAGAGGGAATCAACAAAACTCCCAGAAATGTCACCTTAATTGAAATCAGATGCATTTCTTTTAAAATGTTGTGATTTATTTTTCCTTGGGGAGGTTTTCTTTCCAAAAAGAGCACTTTTTCTTCTTGCTATTGGCAGCCTTCAAAGGCTGAAACAGTAAATAGGCCCAGAGGACCACTCTCTCAGTAAAGAGAGAGAGAGACACACAACTGGTGGTGGTTTAACCTGAGGGTTGCCACACGTCAGGTAGGAGGGTGAGGTTGAGCAGGTGGGACCTTCATAGTCACCTCTGTCAGTGCGGGAATTAGATTGCGCTGTTGGCATCACTTTGTATCACAAACCAGCCATCCAACCAACTGAGCTAGCTAACCCCAACAATCTTGGAATACCTTGGATGTGGTTATCAGTGAGTTGGAGCACCAGGGCGTGGACTTTTAGTGGAAGGGATGGGACTGATTGCATCATCCTAGTTCTCCTCAGGGAATGGAATGGTCTGGAGGATGGTTAAACAGCATGATCCAACAACCATCCCTTGTGTGTTCCCTGTACCTGGTGACAACCAAGGGGGTGACCTGTGAATTAAGTTAAATAAACAATTTGATAGGGTCAATCAAGAGATTCCTCATAGAGTCCCCACAGTGTGAAAGCAGGCCATTCATCCCATACCAACCCTTCATTTCCCACTGCCAACCCACATATCCTTGGACCACAGGAGGAAGCTAAAGCACTGGGCAGAAACCCGCAGAGACACAGGGAGAACGTGCAAACTCCACTCAGATAATCACCCGAGGGTGGGATCAAACCTGGGTCCCTGGCACTGTGAGGCAGCAGTGCTAACCACTGAGCCAGCCTCTGGTAGTGAAAATCAAAGCAAGAATGATAAAACTTCAAACTGTGGTTAGGCGGGAGATGGTAGTGCAGCGGTAATGTTCCCGGAAATAATCCAGATAGGCCCAGGCTAATCCTCTAGGGGCAATGTTCGAATTCTGCCAAAGTGATCTTGGAATTGCAATGGAATTCTGCGGTCTCATAATGCAGTGGTAGTGTCCCAACCTCTGGGCCAGGGGACCCAGGTTCAAGTCCCACTTGCTCCAGAGGAGTGTAATGACAGTGCTGAGCGTGTTGACCAAATTAATACCGAAGTAGGGCATTGAAAGGACGATCTTTAGAAGCATTTTCTTGCACAAAGTGTGTTGGAAACTTGGAACTTTGTTACCCCCAAAAAGCTGTTGAGGTTGATGGTCAAATAGAAATGGGCTTTTGGTGGGTAAAACTGTTAAGAGACACGGAACCAAGGTGAGGTGATGGAGTTGAGATGGCTGAAAAGGTTTATAGAGGATGACGGGTCTCCTCCTGCTCCCCACGTGTTGCTTGATCTAAGTGTGGATTTGATGCATGATGAAAAGCATGAGGTGTGTTCATGGCTTTCAGGAAGTTATCAGTGTAGCCTCAAAGCTGACAGCTTATGTGAGAGCACTCCAGACCAGGAGGGTCATTAGCCAGCAGTTTAGTTTGGTTATCCTTGAGGTGTAGCTTCACTGTCAGGATTAACTGCACCTCGGTGTTGTTTTGTCCAGTGTCGCACTCATACCAACTGATAGCTTCGCACTGAAGTCTCATCGCTCACATTCCTCCTTCTTTCCCCAACAAAAGGCTGTAGTGGCTTTGGAAAGGAAATATTGGCCTCCTTTACAACTTCATTTGACAATGGCTTTTACCAAATAAATCCCTCATCTTCAGATTCCATCATCTGTCAACACTGCGTTGACCAATCTGTTCTTCATTTATAATGCTGGTGCTCCATCATGACATTTATCATTGTCATCACTATCTCAAACAATAAGATTCTCTGCAGTTCAGATTGAGTAACTTCATTCCTCCTTTATTCAATATGCTTTCATGGGATGTGGGTGTCACTGGCTGGGCTCAGCATTTAGTGTCCTTCCCTAGTTGCCCTTGAGAAGGTGGTGGTGAGCTGCCTTCTTGAACTGCTGCAGTCAATGTGTTCTAGTTTGACACAAAGTAAGAATGATAAAACTTCAAATTGTGGTTAGGCGGGAGATGGTAGTGCAGTGGTAATGTTCCTGGAAATAATCCAGATAGGCCCAGGCTAATCCTCTAGGGGCAAGGTTCGAATTCTGCCAAAGTGATCTTGGAATTGCAATGGAATTCTGGGGTCTCATAATGCAGTGGTCGTGTCCCAACCTCTGGGCCAGGGGACCCAGGCTCAAGTCCCACTTGCTCCAGAGGAGTGTAATGACAGTGCTGAGCGTGTTGACCAAATTAATACTGAAGTAGGGCATTGAAAGGATGATCTTTACAAGCATTTCCTTGCACAAAGTGTGTTGGAAACTTGGAACCCCTTAGGGAGGGAATTCCAGGATTTTGACCCAGCGACACTGAAGGAATACATTTCCAAATCAGGATGGTGAATGGCTTGGAGGGAAACTTGCAGGTGGTGGTGTTCCCATGTATCTGCTGCCCTTGTCCTTCTAGATGGTAAGGGTTATGGGGTTGGAAGGTGCTGTCTGAGGATCTTTGGTGAATTTCTGCAGTGCATCTTGTAGATAGTACACACTGCTGCTACTGAGCGTTGGTGGTGGAGGGAGTGGATGTTTGTGGAAGTGGTTCAAATCAACATTTGTCCTGGATGGTGTCAAGCTTCTTGAATGTTATTAAAGGCACACTCATCCAGGGAATTGATCGTGCTTCTGACTTCTGCCTTTTCAATGGTGGGCAGACTTTGGGGTGTCAGGAGGTGAGTTACTCCCTGCAGGATTCCTAATCTCTGACCATTAGCATTGAATGCAAACATGCTAT